TGGTGAGACCAGAGCTCCATGGCGGGGGGGGCAGACCTGAGCCCCCAGGCGCTGGAAGACTTTATCACGATGGCAAGCCGTGCATTGCATGGAGCGGCGCATGAAGGTGCTTAGGTGCTGGCCTCATTGCGTGGAGGCTGATGCGCTGTTTGGAAAGGGCCCCCTTTCCCAGGGAGCCTTGGCTATTGCAGGGGGAGAGGAGAGTTCAGATTGGCGCAGGTGTGTGGAGTATGGAGGGGGCACATATTAGGAGAGGGAAGAGGATCACGATGGCAAGCCGTGCATTGCATGGAGCGGCGCATGAAGGTGCTTAGGTGCTGGCCTCATTGCGTGGAGGCTGATGCGCTGTTTGGAAAGGGCCCCCTTTCCCAGGGAGCCTTGGCTATTGCAGGGGGAGAGGAGAGTTCAGATTGGCGCAGGTGTGTGGAGTATGGAGGGGGCACATATTAGGAGAGGGAAGAGGTGGCATTTGGGGGAGTTGGTTTTCATGTCAGGGAACAGACTGTGTGCGCGTGGGGGGGGGGAATGACACAAAGATAATTATAATAATCACTGACTGTTATAGCCTGTCATTGGTATTCACAGTCCTGTCCAGATGGTTAGGTGGCAAGCTGCTTGTCCCAAAGAGGTTTCTGTTGCATGCTGGAGGTGGGAGTGGGATTGCATCCTGGAGAAGAGTGGGCAGAGATTTCATCTGGAGGAAAAGAGAGATGGATGCTCAGCTCTGAAAATCTCTGGGAGATGGCAAGATAAAATTCTCCTTCTGGCTGCAGATTATTGCAAACTGGATGCTCTTTGTGGATAAAAGATGTATCATGGAATGAATGCGAGCAGCGGGGATCCATTCCTAGAGAAGCAGCAGCAGCAGTCCCCATGTCTCCGGAGACTCTTCGTGGTGGTCTTGTGGCTTCAGCTGGCGCTATGCTTTGGCCCTGCACAGATCACTGGCGGTGAGTGACTAACTCATGTGACTGACAGGCAGCAGCAGGGCCCCAGTAAGATAGCAAGAGAGGCTCTGGCAGACTGCAAGCAAGTGGTTTCCCCAGTGATGAGGTGCTTGGGGGGCTGGGCCCCTTTGCTGTTTTTTAGAGGCTAACTCACTGCTATCTTTGGTCCTCTACTGTTTACATTAAAGCAAGCTACTTGGTATTCAGGCCCCCGTGTGTTTTCCCCATGATTCAAGCACCGGAGACATCCCTAGTTTCTGACCCCATATGCACAAATGGCATTAAGAGAGATCATCCAGAACTCTTCTCCCCCCCCCCCATCCTTGCATGAGAGCCTTCCCCTATACATGTGTATACATACAGGGATGCTGAGATGCAAGAATCCTTTGCTCGTCTCCTGCCCCTAATGCAGACATGTTGACAGCACTGACTCCTATATGCACATGTAGAAATCCTCTGCTCACCATCCCTCCAGACACATGCACAGAGAGGGGTTGCCAGGAGAGATTCCCCCCTTATTCCAAAAACCTGTGTGCGCATAGGGGTACTAATAGCAGAAAATCTCCCATGTCTCTCCTTCTGCCATCCTTCCCCCCTTTGTATACATAGATGAGAGAAGTGAACCCCTCTAGCCGTTCCCACTCTAGTATGCAGATGTTGATATGGCGACAAATACTTTTGCATACTAGTGATGATGGGAAACAGCTTTGCCCAAATGCTGGCTAGAGAGAAGCAAGTGGTAATAAATATTTCCAGCATAACCAGACCTGAATTTTTATTTAAAAACAATGTCACGATTTAATAACGAACAGCAAGTTTCCAATTCTGTCAGCTTTTTTCCCATTCTTAAACCTGGTCTGTGCATTTGGGGAAGCACACCTTTTCAATGTTTTGGGAGAGGAGGAAGCAAGTAATATTGTGCTGAAGAAGGAGACATTAAAATTCAGTTCCATTGCCTCCACTTTGAAAAAGGACCATTCCATGTTTGTCCTTTCTATGATTTTAATTACAATTTTTAAACCTTTTTATTTTATTGAGGCATTTTAAGCAGATACATTTACTTACCAAATTGTTTGAAACTGATTCCCTAATTAGGTCTGGACTGCAGAAAAAGTCTTCAAATAAACTGCTGTGCTGCAAAATGCATTTAGTTGGAATAACATTAGCAACTTCAAAGGATTTCCACTCTAAGATGTTGTT